AAGTCCTAAAGGTTATTTTCACTCACACAGAGGTCTCAGACAAGGTGATCCTTTATCTCTATTTCTATTCATCATAGCCATGGAAGGATTGAACAACATGATCAAAACGGCTAAAGTCAATGGATGGATTAAAGGCTTTGAGGTAAATAGGAGTGGGGCTAATAATCTAGAGATCACACATCTCCAATATGCTGATGATACTCTAGTCTTCTGTGATGCTGGAAAAGACCAACTTAGATTCTTAAGGATCATTTTGGTTTTATTTGAAGGAGTATCAGGTTTACACATTAACTGGAGAAAGAGCAATATTTTTCCCATTAATGAAGTTAATAACATGGGGCAACTGACTCAGATATTGGGAGGAGAAGTTGGGTCCCTACCAACTGTTTACCTTGGGATGCCTCTTGGTGCAAGATCCAAATCAAAAGAAATCTGGAATTCAGTCATAGAAAAGTGTGAGAGGAAGTTGTCAAGATGGAAATCGCAGTACCTATCATTGGGGGGGTAGGCTAGTTCTAATCAACTCAGTATTAGACTCTCTACCTACTTACATGATGTCTTTGTTCCCAATTCCAGCAGGCATTTTACAGAGATTGGACAAACTCCGAAGAACATTCCTCTGGCAAGGCAATAAGGAGAAAAAGGTCTTCCATTTAGTCAATTGGAAGACACTAACAATGGATAAAAAACAAGGTGGATTAGGGATAAGGAATTTGAAGAACCAAAGCAAGGCTCTTAGAATTAAATGGTTATGGAAGTACTCTAAAGAACCCCAATCTTTATGGGCCAAAGTGATCAAAGCAAAGTATGGTGAAGAAAACAACTGGGTGTCAAAAAAAGTCAGTACATCATATGGAGTAAGTGTGTGGAAATCCATCAGAGAACTTTGGCCAATAATGAAGAACCACTCCTTTATAAGAGTGAACAACGGAAGGAACACATCTTTTTGGAATGATAACTGGCTAGGAATGGGAAGCTTAAAGGAAAGATACCCAGATATTTTCGGTTTAGCTCAAAACCAGCATAAGACAGTCGCGGATATGAGGAGTTGTCAAGGATGGGAAATAGCTCTAAGAAGACAGCTGAATGACTGGGAGATAACAAGATTAACTGATCTCTACAAAGAGCTGGAAGCATTCACAGGACTACAGGAAGGTTTGGATTCAATATGGTGGAAGAGGCACAACAAAGGGATTTACCGTGTGAAGGATGCATATAAGATTTTGAATCATGATAATCAACAGGTAGACACATGGCCTTGGAAACATATATGGAAAACAAAGATTCCATACAAGGTAGCCTGCTTCACTTGGCTACTAGCAAAGGAGGCGGTTTTAACCCAGGATAATCTCATAAAAAGGGGAATTTCTCTGTGTTCAAGATGTTTTCTGTGTGGGGAAAATGCAGAAACTGTCAACCATTTGTTTCTACACTGCAAGATTACAGACCAACTATGGAAAATCTTTATTAGTCTTAGGGGTATTTCATGGTCAATGCCATACAGGATTAAAGATGTCATTTATAGCTGGGAAGAAGCTGGAGCTGAAGCAACTAGCAGAGATAGATGGAGGACTGTTCCGGCATGTATTTGGTGGACAGTCTGGAGGGAAAGGAATACTAGATGTTTTGAAGACAGAAGAAATTCACTACAGAAGATCAAACTCAATTGTATTCTTCTATTTTGTTTTTGGTGCAAACAGATGTACACGGAAGATACATTGACAATCATAGACATACTAGGATCCTGCTAGGTCTCAAATTAGAATATCTATAAATTCTCCCTATGTAAATTTGGTTTTCAGTGCAACCTATGTACTGATTTTTATTATATATACAATAGTTACCAATTCAAAAAAAAAAAGTCTAAGTCTCCTATTTCTGATCTAGGTCCTGGCTTTTCCTTTTTCTAAATGATTCTTCTGTTTTTAGTCTTTTTCTGCACACTAAATCGACATTGCCACTATTGTCTATTGTGATAAAACCTAGCTCGATTCTCAATTGTTGAAGTCCTTGGTGGACTCTTCTGATTTTTTCTGGTGGTGCATGCAGTGGTGGGATGAATGGCTACATATCCCTTTGCATGGGAGATCCTTGTCCTCCAATATTTAGATCACCTATTGATGGGCTGGAAGATATTATGGACAATCAAGTCATGTAAGAAACCTAGCTATTGACTGCAGCATTTGTATACCAATTGACGGTACTGACCAGCTGTTAGTGTTTTTAAAAATAATAATTTCTGATCAGCTTTCTGGGTCTTGCATTTTCAGATGTGCAATATACAGACTCCCGGACCCCCATAAGCATATCACACGGCCACCTAAAGGGGTTATTTTCCCAAAGAAGGTAATCCGATGCGAGAGAACCACACTTTATACCCTGCCCTGACTAAAAGGATATCGTAAGATTTTCTTTGTGAATGCTTCCGATGTCACATATTCTTTTTTCCCTTGTTAATTTTTCAATAATCAAACCAGCTATTGGTCAAATGCCTTTTTTGATTTATTTATTACAGTATCCAAATTTCTAATTCCTTTGCATGTTAGTACATATCCCATCATTTATAATTGCTTCTATTTCATAGTATGTAAAAAATTGAGTCCTAAAATGACTTCGACTAAATTCTAGTGTGATCTTTGAAACTCAAATCTGGGAAAATTATGGGCAGAAGGAGTCCATGAAAGTGATTTTCCTGAAGCATAATCTAATAAAGGACTGGTATGTTGAGGACAACCTAAAGATGTGTATTCCTGTGCTTTTTTTTCTTCACGAAAGAGAATCTCATTTCATTATGTAAGGGTAGACAATGGTGGTTGTAAGTATCCTAATGTTCCTAATCATATGACTTTTATTGAATTTAAAAAAAAACAGTTGTTTTTTATGTGCCCGTTGTTAGGCCTATTGAAGTAAAAAATATCTCCTCCCGAGCGTATAAGTTGCCCTTTTCGTTTCCTCACTAATGCTGCTTTGTTACCATGCAGTTGGTCACATTTGGTGATATAAAACCTGATCCCGTGTTGTGGCATGAGGATTCTGGGAGGAAACCTTGGGAAAATGGAAGGTATGTTGCTATATGTTGATTGGATGAAGATGTCGAATAATGCAATCAGTTAGTATGTCTATTTTGTCCATTCGATTTTATGTTGCTGTGTACTTCGTTTCAGGAACCAACACCCAGGTGGAAACTCTGGTCGTCACGTTGGAGAGGCAGCACACAGGCTGGTGGCTAATAGTTTGCAGATGGGGAGCGGTCATGGTGATTATGCACATGCTCAACCTGCAGCATATCCTGCTACACATGGTCCTTTTCCTTCCTCTCACAGATACAATGGTCAGGAACATGATCGGTCTAGTTTTAAGTATGCCGCTCGAGATGGCACAGCTGTGCCGTATCACTATGATCATAGTTATAACCAATCATATGTCCCAGCTGCTGTTGATCCTTATAGTAGGCCGCCTCCTCTGTATGAGAGAGGTGGCCGACCTGTCCCTCCCAGCAGGGATTATCATAGACATGGACATCACAGTGCTGTGGTCCCGCAAAATGTTGGATATGGTTATTCCTCTCATGCCACTCGTGCACAGCATGTCAGCCAAACACCAATACCACCCGATGCTCATTTTCACCAGCAGCAGAGTGGATATGACAATTACACGAGTTATCAACCTTATGTGGCAGGAAGCTATAACCAACAGGGTGGTGGATGGACTCCTCAAGTTAGCCAAAACGTTGCTCGAGGGTATAGTAATCCACGTCCTTCCAGTAATCACTTCTCGGCGTTGGGAAGAGGAAGAGATAGACGGCCCCCATCTTCAGGCCATAACCGTTAGAGGTCATCATCTTACCCACGTCGACACAGGACAGAAGAGTCGCTGCTGCAAAGAAGTTAGAAATCTTGCAAGTAATAGGCATGTAGATCGAACAAGAAAAAGAAAAAGAAAAAGAAAAAGCAGTTAGAGAACAAACAGATGTTGCTTGTCAACGTGCAAGTTCAGGCGACTTTCTGGTGCTTGTCATTATGGTAATGTTGTACAATATAGGTCTCTAGCACAGAACTTTACTGGTATTCTTTTTCCTTTCTTCCAATACTAGATGTACTTAAGCTTCATTTATTTGAAAAATTACATTGTATTCCATAAAGGTCAATGTTGGATGAATAAAGGTGATGTAATTTTCTCATGAACTATGAGCTTTATTTGTAATGTCCTTTCTATTTTGGTTTATTCGGAGGAACTTTTATGTAATATTCTACGGTCATGCTGAAGTCATAACTATTGTTTATTAGGTCATTTCAGATGGTGTCGCAAAATTTTAGGTGATTTTGATCTAGTAATCCGGATTCATGTAAGTGGCATGGATTATAGCACACGAAAATTTGAAAATTGATTCGAATTTTAGTTTTTTGGCCAAAATGCCAAAAAACCGGAAACGATTATGTCGAAACCACAACTGTTGTTCATTAAGTCATTTTTTATAGTCTCCCCAAATTTTAAAAGATTCGGATCCGATAACCCAGATTCATGAAGACTGCGTGGGAATTCGGCAAAAATTTTATTTTTTTAGCCTTAAAATACCAAAAACAAAGAATGGTCATGCTGAAGCCATAACTATTGTTCATAAGGTTAATTTTTATGAACTCGCAAAATTTTGGAAGATTTCGATCCGGCAGCCCGGATTCATGCAATATCACACGAAAAATTAGAAATCGGCTCGAATTCCAATTTTTTTGGCCCTAAAATGCCAAAACAAGGAACGATCATGTCGAAACCATGACTATTGTTCATAAGGCAATTTTTGATGGTCTCATAAAATTTTAGAAGATTCGGATCCGATTGCAAGGATTTATGCAAATTGTATGGCTATAGCATATGAAAAATTGAAAATCGTCCCGAATTCTAATTTTTTGGCCCTCAAATGCCAAAAAACGAGGAACGGTTAAGCTGAAGCCATGACTATTATTTATTAGGTCATTTCTGATGGCCCCACAAAATTTTTGGCGATTCCGATCCTATATAGCATACGAAAATTTTGAATTTTTTGACACTAAAATGCCAAAAAAGAGGAACGCTTATGCCGAAACCATGGCTATTGTTCATTATGTCATCTTTGATGGACCTGCAAAATTTTAGGCAACTCGCATCCGATAGCCTGAATTTATGCAAATAGCGATGAATATAATACACAAAAACTTGAAAATCGGTCCGAATTTCAGTTTTTTGGTCCTAAAATGCCAAAAGATAATGAATGGTCATGCCAAAGCCATGATTATTGTTCAATAGTCATTTATGTAGCCCCGCAAAATTTTAGACTATTCAGATCTGATAGCCCAGATTCATGCAAATGACGCGGACTATGACCTACGAAAAATTTGAAAATCGTCTCGGTGATGCTATGACTATTGTTCATTACGTCATTTTTGAGGGCCCACAATATTTTTGGCGATTCCGATCCAGTTGCCCGGATTCAAGTAGACGGAGGAGCCTAGCACACGAAAATTTAGAAATCGGCCCGAATTCTAATTTTTTGGCCTCAAAATTCCAAAAGATGAGGAATGGTCATGTCGAAACCATAACTATTATTCATTAGGTCATTTTTATGGCATTATAATATTTTAGGCAATTCAGATTTGGTAGCCTGAATTCATGCAGATGGCGTGTACTATAACACATAAAATTTGGAAATGGGAGTGAATTCTAGTTTATTTGCCCTAAAATGCAAAAAATGAGGAACGATCATGCCGAAGCCATGAATTTGATTCATTAGGTCATTTTTGATGGCCATATGAAATTTTAGGCAATTCAGATCCGGTAGCCCGGATTCATGCAAATGGCGTGAACAATGCACATGAAAATTTTGAAATGAGCCCGAATTCAAGTTTTGTTTTTTGCGATAAAATGCCAAAAAACGAGGAACGGTCATGAATAAGTCATGAATATTATCATTAGGTCATTTTTTATGGCCCCGAAATTTTTTAGGCGATACAGATCTAGTTCCCGGATTCATATAGATGGTGTATTATAGCACATGAAAATATGAAAATCGGCCCAAACTTTAATTTTTTAATCCTAAAATGCTAAAAAATGAGGAACGGTCGTGACGAAGCCATGACTATTGTTTATTGGGTCATTTTTATGGCTCGCAAAATTTTAGGCGATTCGGATCTGGTAGCCCGGATTCATGCAGATGTAGTAGACTACAACACACGAAAATTTAGAAATCAACCTGAATTCTAGTTTTTTGCCTTTAAATGCCAAAAAAGAGGAACGCTCAAGTCAAAGCCATGACTATTGTTCATTAGGTCATTTGTATGGCCTTGCACAATTTTAGGCGATTTGGTAGCCCGGATTCATGTAGTATAACATAACATACAAAAATTTAGGAATCAATCTAAATTCTAATTTTTTGGCCCTTAACCGTGGGACGGTCATGCCGAAGTCATGACTATTGTTCATTAAGTCATTTTGTATGGCCCTACAAATTTTTGGCGATTCAGATTCGGTAGCCCGGATTCAAGCAGATGGCGTGGACTATTGAATATGAAAATTTAAAAATCGGCTCGAATTCTAGTTTTCGGCCCTTAGATGCTAAAAAACGAGGAACAGTCATGCTGAATCCATGACTATTGTTTATTAGGTCATTTCTGATGGCCCAGAAATTTTTAGGCAAGTCGGATCTGGTAGCCCAGATTCATGCAAATGGTGTGGACTATAGCATACGAAAATTTCAAAATCGGCCCGAATTCTAGTTTTTTGATTCTAAAATGCCAAAATTAGGAACAATAATGCCGAAACCATGGCTATTGTTCATTATGTCATTTTTGATGGCCCTGCAAAGTTTTAGGCGATTCGAATCTGGTAGCCCAGATTTATGCAAATAGTGTTGACTATAGCACACGAAAACTTGCAAATCGGCCCGAATTTCAGTTTTTAGCCCTGAAATACCAAGAAATAATGAACGGTCGTGCCGAAGCCATGATTATTGTTCAATAGGTTATTTATGATAGCACTGAAATTTTTTAGGCTATTCAGATCTGGTAGCCCAGATTCATGCAAATGACGCGGACTATAGCATACGAAAAATTTAGAAATCGGCTCAAATTCTATTTTTTTAACCATAAAATACCAAAAAGAAGGAACGGTCATGCTGACGCTATGACTATTGTTCATTAGGTCATTTTTGATGGCCCCATAAATATTTTGTGATTCAGATCCGGTAGCTTGGATTCATGTAGATGCCGTGAACTATAACACACAAAAATTTGAAAATCGTCGTGAATTATAGTTTTTTGTCCTAAAATGCTAAAAAAAAATGAGGAACGGTCTGCCGAATCCATGACTATTGTTTATTAAGTCATTTTTTATGGCTTCATAAAATTTTAGGCAATTCGGATATGGTAGTTCGGATTCATCCAGAGCACGTGGACTACATAACATACAAAAATTTGGAAATCGACCCAAATTCTAGTTCTTTTTGCCCTAAAATGCTAGAAAACGAGGAACGTTCATGCCGGAGCCATGACTATTGTTCATTATGTCATTTTTGATGACCCTGCAAAATTATAGGAGATTCAGATATGATAGGCCGTATTCATAAAGATGATGTAGATTATAGTACACAAAAATTTGGAGTTCGGTCTGAATTCCAGTTTTTGGCCCTAAAATGCTAAAAAACCATGAACGGTCATGCCGAAACCATGACTATTGTTCATTAGGTAATTTTTGATGGCCCCAAAATATTTTAGGCGATTCGGATCTGATATCCCGGATTCATGTAGATGGTGTAGTCTATAGCGCGCAAAAATTTAGAAAGTGGCTGGAACTTTAGTTTTTTGGCCCTAAAATTTCAAAAAATGATGAACGGTCATGCCGAAACCATGACTAATGTTCATTAGCTAATTTTTGATGGCTCTACAAAATTTTAGGTGATTCGGATATGGTATCCAGAATTCATGCAGATGTCGTGCATTATCGTATATGAAAATTTAGAAATCGGCTCGATTTCCAGTTTGTTATCCCTAAAATGCTAATAAAACGAGGAATAGTCATGTCGAATCCATGATTATTGTTTATTAGGTTATTTTTTATGGCCCCACAAATAGGCGATTCGGATCCGGTAGCCTGGATTCATGCAGATGGCGTGAATAATAGTACACAAAAATTTAGAAATCAGCCCGAATGTTAGTGTTTTTGCCCTATAATGCCAAAAAACTAGGAACGGTTATGCCGAAACCGTGACTAACTTCATTAGGTCATTTTTGATGGCCCGACATAATTTGGATATCGACCCGAATTCTGGTGTTTTGGCTAAAAAATGTCAAAAAATGAGGAACGATCATGCCAAAACCATGACAATTGTTCATTAGGTCACTTTTGATGCCCGCCAATATTTTAGGCGATTTGTATCCGGTAGCCTGGATTCAAGCAGATGGCATTCCCTTTTTTTTTGGCAATGAAATGCCAAAAAACGAGAAACAGTCACGCCAAAGCCATGACTATTGTTCATCAGGTTAGTTGTTATGGCCGTAGAAAAGTATAGCCGAATCAGATCCGGTAGCCCGGATTCATGCAGATGGCGTGGACTATCTAAAACACAAGAAAATTTAGAAATCAGCTATAATTCTAGTTTTTTGGCACTGTCATACCAAAAAACGAGGAACGATCATGCCGAAGCCTTAACTATTATTCATTAGGTGATTTTTTACGGCCCCAAAAGTTTTTAGGTGATTCAGATCCGGTAGCCCAGATTCATGCAGATGGCGTGGACTATAGCATACGAAAATTTAGAAATTGGCCTGAATTATAGTTTTTCGGCCCTAAAATGTCAAAAATAAGGAATGGTAATGAGGAAACGTTGACTATTATTCATTAGGTCATTTTTATGGCCCCACAAAATATTAGAAGATTCGGATCCATTAGCCCGGATTCATGCAGATGGCCTGGACTATATAGCACACGATTTGAAAAACGGCCTGAATTTTAATTTTTAGCCCTAAAATACCGAAAAGAGAAACGGTTATGCTGGAGCCTTGACTATTGTTCATCAAATTACTTTTTATGGCCCCATAAAATATTATGCGATTCGAATTCGATACCCCGGATTCATGTAGATGGCGTGGATTATAATCTAAAAAAATTTGGAAAGCGGCCCGAGTTCCAATTTTTTCCCTATAGTACCAAAAATGAGGAAAGGTCATGACAAAGCCATGACTATTCTTCATTAGGTCATTTCTTATGGCCCTTCAAAACTTTTATATGATTTGGATCCGTTA